TTTGAATTCACTCGAAAGCATATTTTTATAATCCGTAAGCTTTTTTTTCGATATGGAGAGCATATTTGAATTTCTCCTCTGAACGACGTAATGGTATTATTTTTATCGGTTTTATGTGATGCCTCTTGATTTCACTCTAGGATGAACAGTCTTGGTGTTACTATGTGGAGATTAAAGTGTAAACTTAGCTAAAGCATGACTCGTCATATTGTGGTACAAGTTTGTTGCTGCACAAACTTTCTCGGTTAGAGACAGGTGGTCATTAGTTGTTGAATTTTTGTCTTGATATTATCGCTCATAGAGTAAAAGAATAAAAAATAAAATAAATTCGTAATAAGTGAATGAGCAAAGTACTGAATAACACATTTTTTTCATGAACTTCAGAATCGTCCAGTTATACACTGGCTAATATTGTAATTGATGTGTTTTTCTTGTACTCTTCATTAGAAGTGAGCCAAGAATGGCAACAGATACCCTTGATATAACCAGTTAAGTTGATAGTGCACAAACCATATTAAATCAAAACCGTAGTATTGTGACTCACAGATACTTCTTCCGTGCGGCGCAAGACGGAGCATCGCCTTCACGCGTGTGGTCTTGGCGTGTGGGGCTTGGTCAGGCGAGGTGGCGGCGCTGGCGGGAATAGGGGCTGGCGAGGGCGTCCTGGCCATGCCCTTGCACATTTATCCCAGGCAAGTTGCGAGCAATATAAAATTAGGCATTAGAACATAAATACATGGTTATGTAACTTCTATTCTCTATTATTCACATTAATTGTTTACTACAGTTTACTATTATAAATCTTTCTGCAACTGCTATCTGGCAACAATGGAACATACAATCCCCCCCCCTAGGAAACGGTATGTTTATATCGTTCACGTCCCCGGGCTACCAGGGGCCAACACGCCAATATTCATCGATACGAGCGGCACATATTTCAAGCGGGAAGGCCTTAACACTCACCTCTACACCGTCGGAAAGTCCCCTACTGAGGAACAGGAACCTTCCATTGATGACCTCGAAATCGACTACGATTTCTTCGAGAACGAAGTGTGGCCAGTGCTTGCTAACAGAGTACCTGTCTTCGAGAACCTCAAGGTATAGACAGTGCCAAACCTCTAAGTATTGTTCCGAATTCTGTCTCGTATATCCAAATAGTGTGGCGATATTTTAGGTAAAACTCCTTATGAACATATACGTGTAAATAGTTACGTCCAAATTACTTTTGGATATATTTTAGATGTTCATTTTCTTACCAGTTACAGGGAGCCTGGGCAGGTTACTATGACTACCATACCCTGGATCAGAATCCCATCATTGGCCCGCATCCGGTCTACGCCAATATGTTCATCGTGACTGGCTTCAGTGGCCATGGTAGGCTATTTAATAGACACACACACGACCCACCCACATACCCATACATACATACATACGTACGTACATACATATACATACACTACGTATACGTACATACATACATACATACATACATACATACATACATACAGAGAGAGAGAGAGAGAGAGAGAGAGAGAGAGAGAGAGAGAGAGAGAGAGAGAGAGAGAGAGAGAGAGAGAGAGAGAGAGAGAGAGAGAGAGAGAAGAGAGAGACAGACAGAGACAGAGACAGAGACAGAACAGACAGACAGACAGACAGAGACAGACAGACAGACAGAGACAGAGACAGACAAACAGACAGACAGACAGAGACAGACAGAGACAGACAAACAGACAGACAGAGACAGAGACAAACAGACAGACAGATAGAGACAGAGATAGAGACCAAGATCGAGATCGAGATGGATAAGAGAGAGCGAGAGAGAGCATGTTTGTTTTTTCATTACATAATAATTATTTGGGATTTTCATTTTTCTTCCAGGTGCCCAGCATGCAGCAGGAGCAGGACTGGCCACATCAGAGTACATTTTGGAGGGAAAATTTTCAACCATTGATCTAAACCGTTTTTGTTTTGAAAGAGTTCTCACGGGTGAGGCAGTCAGAGAGAAAAATGTTATATAAGAGTGAAGTTATGTCCTCACTATGTGAATTCTGGCATTAATGTTTTATTTGAGGTAGATTAACCTAAGGGACTATGCCTTTACACAAAAGTCCATAAAGGTTCATGCTAATATGGACTTGTGTAACAAGATTCAGTTGAACTTTGGTAAGCATGCTTCTTTTGGTTAAGAGTTAATTTTATTTGATGAAAATTGCTCTTACATTACATGCACTTAGAAACTGATATCAGTGTCAAATTTAGTGACAGTGTACCATATTTGCTTTTAATTTGAAGTTCAGCTAGTTATTATACTTTTGATTAACATTTTTACAATTCTGATAATCATTCTATTCATGAAGTACATGTCGACAAATACTAAACATAGTTAAAAACCTAATATTTCATACTTTCCATCAGAGTAGGTCATTTATTACTTACTGACAGGGCAGAAAATAATGCAATGGACATTTGAATTTTATTCTTATCCTTAGCTAGATTTGCCTTTAGTATAATCATTTTATGAATAGGGTTTCAGGAATGTATCTGGTGAAACAAATATTCTACATAAAATCTTTTTACACTATATATGCTTCTTGGAAGAGGACAGATACAAATCACTGGACACTAAATATTTACTGACAAGTAGCTGGGTACAAAGCAAAATATACCACCTTCAACAAAGCAGTAAATGGAATGAACAAATGTACATCCAGGGTCTATTTTTCTTCTTATACTTATCTATATATCTAATATACACATCAAAACCAATAACAAGATGAAATATTGAGAACAAAATGAAACAAAAATATATAAATCTAATCAAGATGATGTACAAGGCAAATTTTCTTTACTTTCTCATTTTACATGCCATTTAATTCTATATTATGAACACAACATTTCACTTCCGTACATTTTAGGAGTGTAAGATCCCATCAAATGCTTCAAAGATGCCTTGGGCAACCTCAGTGGCCCTTGACTTCAGTGATAACTGAAAAAAAAAAGGAATTTACCATTAGCTTCAGCTAGATTTCACAAAATCCTCCCCTTAATGTGATCCTTTTGAATATGAAATATTTTGACTTGTAAATTAACAATATAACAAGCATTGGGGGCCCCTTCTCCTTTTATTTGCAAGCCAAAATGAAATGCATGACCCTTTTTCCCTGCCACAAAATAATTTAATGCCTTCATCTAATGGCTATTCATAAGTTTTCATTTTTTTTTTACTACTTATAACTTTCTACAATCTTAAATCAATATTATTAACTTGATACAGTAAGTTTCATGGAATCAAGAAAAACTAGGAAAAAAACAAATTAGATAAACTTACCACAATGGTGGGATTACCCGGCTGCACTTTAAGCTCCGTCAGAACCCAGATACCATTAGTGAGCTTGATGGACTGGTAAAGCATATCCTGACCCTCCACATTTCGCTTTGCAATTGTGAATACATTGCAGCTTTGCAGCTTGTTTGAAATACCATCTGCAAAAGAACAGTTGTTTTTAAGGAAAGGAACTACTGATTCCCATTAACTATTTTCTGTGAATGGTCACAAACTCTGTCTCTCCTATTAAACAGGTTCAAGAAGGTAAAAAAAAAAAAAAGTTTTCTCTCCATGCATTAATGTGATTCTGAAGAGAACTTTCACACCTTGAAGAGAGCCTAATAATCAATTATTTGTAATCCATAACATATTATTGTATGGTCTTGACTGAACAGAGAACGCTTTTGGTCAGACCTTCATACAAGCAGGTGTCAGCAGCTTGGAGATTAGCAGCTTGAGAGAATATTGGGGTAAATATTGTTCCAGTTCATAAATACATTTCTTCAACATACAAAACATGCAGTCAAATATTTCAAAACCAAAATAAAATAAAAAAGGAAGAAAAAATGTAGTAAAAAAATATGGTAATAAAACTAAGTCTATTTTACACTTGTACAATCTAGACTCATAAAATTATCTGAGTATATACATTATATTAATCATCTAGTGTTAAGGAACTATATTTACCCGTGGTAGATAAGCCATCTGTGGACAAGATACATGGTAGAATGAGAATATTACCATATCTTGTAATTATGTAATAAAATTTCATTTAAATATGCTTCAGATTCTTTATAAAATCAAATTTCATCAGCAAACAGGTGTCAATATTCCATGATAAAAATAATCATTAAATGGTTTGGAATGATAAACATGAAAAATAACATATAATTATCTATTTTGTCTCAGAACACATACTTTTACTATAAACACTAAAGGTAAATTACACTATGAAGTATGTATCTACAGATTATTTTTTCCAATATGACAATGTGCATGTGATAGGAGGACTGAGAGGTGTCTCTTTAACCACTCTATCTCTGTGATAAATGCAGATTAGTTCAAAGCATAAAACAGTCTCACACTTTCAAACAAAATTATATAAAATACATGCAGTACACCCAACACAGATAAAGCTTTCTCTGATTTACTAAAACTGCACTATTATTTCATGTAATTTCACTCCTTCAGCACAATCATCATTCACACATTGATGGATGTAAACAGCATAAGCATAGTAAGAAAGCACAAAACGAATGCTGAGCCACTTACGAAAGGGAGGTCAGAATTCACACAAATACTACTCACCTGCATTCAAATTGATATTCTCAATGTTGAACTGAACTTCATTTTGACTTGGAATATCCTTCCAAGTAGAAAGGAAAACCCTCTTGTCCATGGCTCCATCCTCAGTAAAGAAGATGTGTATTGGCATCACTGTTGCGAAGTAGAACACATCCACACTGTTCTTGATGGCAACCTTTGGATTTAATGATGTATGGTAGATTATTATCTTTGGCCAAGGGAAAAGAGGGCAAAAAGAAGAAAAGAAGAAATACATATATCTTTTTGATCCACACATATAGGAGAATACAGAAGTATATCTAAGTGAGGAGTACAAGCACCAGGACAAAAACTCACCTGCAAATTTGTAAGTGGATCCATTCGTTGAACTGGGCCATTGGTGGAAAGAGAGAGACTTACATCAATGGACTGGTTGGGAGCCAGAGGAGCAGCCACATTCAATGGAGCTGCTGGTGTTACCCCAAAGCTGTTCTTGTTCAATTGTATGGCAAAGCCAGAGATAGGTTGCATTGCCTTGTTAGAAAGAGTCAAATCCATTGAAATATTTCCATTCCTGTGGAGAAAGTAAGTTTTCTTATAAAAGCTATCATTATTACTTTTCTATGCACGGTGACCTATCATATCATCATTATATCATCAAAGCCAGAGATAGGTTGCATTGCCTTGTTAGTAAAAGTCAAATCCATTGAAATATTTCCATTCTTGTAGAGAAAGTAAGTTCTCTTATTAACGCTATCATTATTACTTTTCTATGCAAGGTGACCTATTTATCATCCCCATTTAACTCAATTGAGATATAAAAGGTGCTACATTTAAAACACATAGCAATACTATCCAATTTACAATCTGTAATAAAATGGCTAAAATTTACAAATGTATACCACAGACCTAAGAGAGAATACATACTTGCGTGAGAAAGTTCCTGATATCTCCATTCCCTTTCCACGATTAGCAGGCAGCCATACTTGCTTGGGTGGGCTGTACACTGGTGTGCTTGAGGAGCCAATGCCAAAGATATCACCTAGGAGTCCTGGTATAGGAAGAACAGACACATATTACATTTGATTTATTTATAAATCTTACCTTACCCTAAAACCATATTAAAATAAAAGTGAATGTTCAAAGATGATCGTACAAGACTAGGTTCATATGTGATAATGTATGTATCGTTACCTACAGATATATTTGTTGGAATAGTAGCAATATTCAGTGTGTTGGCATGCTGTGTTTGCACTGAGCCATACACTAGTAACTATATTGAGGATCACTACACCTGTTTACATAATGTACCATGAAGACTATAAATAAGCTGATCTATTTGTCCAATAGAAAGGGGGAAATATGTTGAGTATGTTTTAAAAAAGGAGGTACTTTCTCCTCTATAATATATAATGTCATGTTCAGATTATAAATACCAAATATGTGACTTTCACTATGCTCCCAAACATGACTTTTTGGGGAAAAAATAAAAAATACTAATAAAACTCATTTCATAGGATGTCTGCGATAAAAAATTGATTTGTACTGGTTTATGAACAGATATGATTTTTTTCTTGTTAGCTCATCAATGGTAAGTGTGGGACCAAAGACTATCTACCCTGGAAAACTGCATCTGGTATTGAAAACTGCTGTTCAATCAACAATCAACTACATTATGCCTATACAAAAATTAATGTCATCTACAAAATTACAAATCATTGAAATCACTTGGCAACTCTTTACATGACTGAAATTTTAAGTATAACCACAAAAAATGTTTACCTCCTGCAATCATACAAAAAACTTATCAAAGTTTGGCATTTCTATCTAATATCTAAATAATTTTTTAAAAACCTAATCTTATTTAGTTGATGTACAACAATAAATTGGCCTTCAAACTCCTTATCACATGTGGTATAATTTAGAGCACATGAACTTGATGTAATAATAATAATATTCTCAGAGGGACTCTTTACTTTCACTTCCACTTAACAATACATATGTCATACCAAGTCAATTTTCAAATTTAACCATTGAGAGATCTGCTATGCTTGAACAAGAGTGAATAAATGAGGGTGTTAGCATGAATGTGAGTATGAGTGTGACTGCAAGTAAAGGGTCAAATAAATATTCAAATTTTCTTTCACTACTTCAAAATGGTGAGTTAACCTTCAAAGAGAATGAAAACTAAGATAAATTTTATACTTGTACTCTACATCCTTCTAAATTTCATCACTTGGCAAAGACGTTTCATACAATCCTAACATGCCGAATCTAAGATATCAAAACAAGATAATGATGAAATTCTGATCACCAAACATGGTAAAAACAGTACCGAGGTATAGAACAAGTATTGGATAAAAGACATGCTATAAACCCATGGTAAATCCTCAGTACCTGTGTCACCTTAGTATTAGCATTACATGGAAAAAAGAAAAATGTATATCAATTATACCATACTATATTCTCCTCATGCCTAAATAATGTATTTGGAAAGATAAACTTATCAAAGACAGACTGACTTCATAAAATACATATACACAACATGGACTCATTTTTCTGCAATGACAAATAAGCTCACTGTCCTGAACCTGGCATATATTATCATTAATAAGCAACTGTGATATGTATTTCTTGTTGCTACTCTCAGGAATAAATATCAAAACCTGTCAAACTTGAATGTTTAAAAATCCTCATTTAATACAAAAAAATTAAATTATTATACATTTTTGGAGACTTTTTAATACATTTTACAAAAAAGATGCAACATACTTATAAATAGCTTGCCAACTTAGCACAGAGGGGAAAGCTCTCATAACAACGACATAGAATACATTATCAGGGAATAGATAAAGAGAAAGCAAGTGAGTACCTGCTGAGGATGTGGCAGTTGGAGGAACCCCTGGAGCAGCAGGGGCGGCTCCGACATCAGCCCCGCCACCTCCCAAGAGGGAATCTAATCCACCGCCCAGGAGATCCAGTGTGCCACCAGAGTATGCTACCATGAGGGAGGGGGGAACAACAATCACGCATAAATTTAGCATACTTTACAGGTTTAAAGAGACATAAGGATATGTGGTTTGCTGGACTACTAAAACTTTATACTGCATACATGTGACCAAGACTGCATATTGATCTACAGCATATCTTTAAATTTACTGCAAGTATCTTAAAATTATTCCATATTTATCTATGTGATTTACAAAACTTGTCTGAAAATTAAAA